GAGATGTGAAATACGATTGCCGTTGGATACACCTTAGACCAGACAGTTTCTGGCTAATCAGCACAGCGGATCGCGGCGCCTTAGACGACCCGTGCCCCTTATAAATCTTAGAACGTACCCCGATTCAATCGACGCAACGAAGAGACATTTGAAACGCCTTCCTCGGATAAACTTTGCTAAATAAGTACGACCTACGACGTTTAATGGAGAATGTATGCACTGGCTGAAAAGTTCTGAGCCAAAGAATGATTGACTGCTTTGATGGAGGTGCTTGCTGTGCAAAGGCTACAACGAGTGAGTGAGTGAGTTGGGTTTAACGCCGCTTTTAACAGTATTCCAGTCATATCGCGGCGTGTCAGCTTAAAGGGGCACTGATCTAAAGCAATTCCCCGGGACTGGTTGTTGCCTTTGTTATTGTTCCCCCCCCCCCCCCCCCCCCGTGAGTACGCAACGCAACTGAGCATGACAAGAGACTGGGCCCCAGGCTGCAAGGACAGCAACATAAACTTGGAGGCAATAATTCTTTTACCCATTTTTGATCACTGATTTGTTAACCGTGATCTATAAAAATTTCGACAAAGAGCGCATGTTAAGTAATTTCTTCAGCCTAAACAAATAGACAAAAAGAACGGCGGAGCTCATTGGTTGTCGTCATTTGGAAATACCCCTGATTGTTATAGCTTAAAAAAAGTATCAATGCAGTGAAAGCATTTTCGGATTTCGGATTGCGTCGATAATACGATTACTACTACCTTGTTGTCATCCACGTTTTCTGGTATAACCCTACACTTGTGTATTTGTCGTCATTCCCTTGATGCTCAGTTAATGAATTTATTACAGGTATAATTAGAGGTAGCACCACTCCGAATACCTGAGGAAGCTTCCCATTTGTCATTTATTGTGTCTGGATGTAAAAACAACATACTTTGTTCAAAGGGTTAACCGATAATACGTTGATTAATTGCTCATTGTTATCTAACTCAATGGATTATTTTAGGAACCGTGGACGTTATGAAAATAGTTGTCACGTGGGCTTTCTCAGCCGACCTTTGAGACTTGACACCTATGTGAAACACCTGAAACAATCTAAGTGATCAGTTGAGAAACGAACACGGGTTATAATATCCCGAAACGATATATATATTTTAAAATATTTGATTGTTACAGAGACACGTGACATCGAATACGTTTCTTTGTACAGCTACAGACGTTTGGGATATTGTTCTTTTGTGTGGATATTCACGGATACATTCCTCGTACAAGGAAACTGCCTAAAATTATACACATAAATTTGGTAGGTTGTAATTATGATATTCGCATATTGTTTTCCTTCATTTGCAGTAGCATTGGACAGATTCATTCTTGTTAACGTTCCTCTACGCGTCTTTGTTGGGATATTCTTCCACGCGCGATAGACGTTGTTTTCACAAGTCTTGTCCTTTGTATATTACAGTCAATTTATAACATGTGATTCTCTCAGGCAATTTATAAAATGTGTAAATATTTCAGTCATTTTGACTGAAAAATCTGTCCATTTCTTTAACAGATTGTCAAAAATTGATTAAGACGACCAATAGGGCCTAAAAACATCACAATAGATTATTATGTAGGATGAGAAGCCAAACAATATAGAAATGTACTTTTCATCGTAACCATTTCAGTCTCTTGGTGATGATATTAAACATAAAATTGTTTGGAATTCTTTTTCATAATAATACAGATGGACATATTTTTCAGTCATTTTGTAAAATAACTGAATATTCAGGCGTTTAATAAATTTCCTAAGTGAAAATTTTGCACATTTTAACTGTAAAAATATAAACACGATAAAATAAGCAATGCTCAGGAGTAATATTTATTTTGTGTTGCAAGTAAAAATAGTGTAAACGAAAATCGCACAAATTACCCAGCAAGTGACTTATCAAAACTTCGTCACCATTACCGATGCTACCCACAAAGATACCTACATTTCCTTATTATTTCCAAAACTGTATTTCATTTTGCTGATCAATGTGACCATACGCCCTTATACTATCAAAAAAAGTGACAAATGCGCTTACGAATTGCGCAGCACAGGTTGCGAACTAGTCTAGGTTTCTGCTATATCATCAGGGGACTCACGGGAAAAAACAATATTTTGATATTTTGTTCCATAATAAGAGTTAGCGAATGTGTCATAGTCGAGTGCACGTGAACTACCCGATGGTTGTGTTTTGAACGTATATAGTTTCTTAATCAATTATTAGCAAACAAGGGCGGTCGGGTAGCCTAGTGGTTAAAGCGTTCGCTCGTCACGCCGAAGACCCGGGTTCGATTTCCGACATGGGTACAATGTGTGAAGCCCATTTCTGGTGTCCCCCGCCGTGATATTGCTGGAATATTGCTAAAAGCGGCGTAAAACCATACTCACTCACTATTAGCAAACACGATTATCTAAGTTAATCAGATTTCTCTCTTGTTAACGTAAACTATAATATCACATTTAAATATATGCAACAATTTTGTGTTCACTAATAGATACCCAGATAAACCGATTTTCTGTTGAGTCCTGTATCAATTTAACAATTTTGTATCTGTTCTTCGGCGATAGCCTGTGAATGCGTGTTGTAGTGAATCCCATA